TATGATGAGTATACTGCTTCTAATGCCAGTGGAGCTGCATTTTGCCGCTCAGCTGCTTTAATTGTAAGGCTTAACCTCACATTCTCTTTTCCTTATTAATTATAGTATTCAGTCATTCTTACTTACACCAGGCAAGCATTTTATTGAGGGCATGTTACAGGACAATAGATAAAATTATCAAGATTTGGAGGACATTTAATATTTCATTTCTTGTTGAAATTTCTAAGAAATCAATTCTACTTGCTGTGGGCCTTGGTGCACCACTGATTTGTTCACTCTTTACATTGACTGAATCAGTTCCTAGCTCTTGGGCACACACAATTTTAAGCCTAATTCATTTTATTTGGTGCAGTTAATGGCCCTTTTACTCTTGCGACATGCACTCTCTGTCACAGATGGTGATGCTTCTGATGACGACCCGTCCAATTTTTTATCCGTAAGTGACTTGAGTTTTGTGTAGTTGTGTTGTTTGTATGCCCACTGTTGTATTCTTTTCAAAATTCTTGTACAACCATTCTAATTAGCTCACCATTTTCTGCAGCTATTCTTGTTTCGAGCTGCTGGGTTTCTTTTGCCTTGCTATATTATGGCTTGGGCAATCAGTATCCTGCAACGTCGACGTCAAAGACAAGTCAGTATTCATTTTAGGTTTAACTAATATTCCATTGGTTTTGTTTTGAAATAATTATGTTGTTCCATTTTAGTCTCTGCATGCAATGTTTGTGTATGTAACTTCGTATCCCTTTTGGTAGTGCCATCTAAGAATCTGCAACAAATGCATATGGATTACCCCCATTATTTTCAGCAAATCTCTAACTTTTTTGTCTTATGGTGAAACAGGAGGCTGCAGCTCTAGCAGCAACACAAGTTGCCTTTGTACTACAATCTGGGCAGCATCGGAGTCTACAGTTTGCAATAGCACCAGGACCCACAGTGCACCCGGAACAAGTGTAGGTTTTATGTTGATGTATGAATTCCTGTGCCTATGTGCCCCATGTAAAGAAGGCTTGTTGAAATGCCATGCATTATTTATTACACTTGATTTCACAACTCTAATGCATGTACATACTAGTGATGGTAAAACAAATGTTATTCATTCCATCCTGTTATCAAAATGGGAGTATTTATATTTGAAAATGACATTTAATGTTTACTAGTTTTGTTCTTTGGAAGATTTGATGACACTTGAAGAAGGATATGAATTCTTTAAAGATGTTTTCTAAAGTGTCTATCCACTAAATGATGGGTCATCATCACTAAGGGTCTATTCCCTTGATTTGATGAAGGACACCATGATCACATGTTATTCAAGATTTCTATTTAATGTTAATGAACTACTAAAATAAGTAGTATCACATATATGTACTATTTTTTTTACATTGTAATAAAATTTTCTAACAATAAATAATAAATCTATAATAACAATCCGTATTGATAAACTAGTTCATAAAATGAGTAAACCCATCCATTAGGCTCAGTAGGAATATTCCTCTTTCAATTGGGATATTTTTATTTAAGAGAAATGAGACATGTATTACATGAAGCAATCATCTATTACATTTCTATTTTCTTTGATAAAAGTTATAAAACTAGGGTTTGTAAAATAGTGTGGAGCTATTACTCCAAAATATTTATGGATACTCCTTATTTACCAATCAATTTTTGTTTTATAAATTATAATGTTTATGGGGAGTGTGAATAAGTACTTCTAGGTGCCAATAACTTGAAGGGAATTTTTTGTTACCAAACAAGATAAGTAATAAATCATGACTTCTCCCTCCGTTTCTTTCCTTTACTATTCCTTCTTTTTCCCTTTCTGTTCTACTTTGTTTACTCTTGGTGACATAATTGGTTGAGATATATAATCGAGAGGCCAAATCTAATAAAATCATATTATCTTATTACAATATGTTTTGAAATGAGCACAGTTCATTTTTCTAATGCTTCACTTGGCTAATATTGTAGAGTTGGAAAATCTTTATAAAACATGAGTCAATTTGTTGTAATTTAGATAAGAGTGCAATTACATGACATTCTCTAAATACAACATCTTGGTTTCACCAACTACCACAACTGTATTAGTTACCCCAACAACACAACCACGACCATAATAACACAACCACAACCATAATTTAAAATCACGTCTATATGTTACAACGGCTTGAGAAGGAAATGACAAATAGGGACCCAAGGTGGGAGCTACAATGAAAATGTTGTCTAATTAGTTTCCCCCCATTTGAACAAAGCAGATAAACATATATTCTAACATACTGTAGTTATGATTATGGTTCAAGATGGGCACCAATTTTAAATCAAAGACAAAGCAAGGAAGAATCTCTCTTTAGCATATTTTGGGTAACATTCTGTTTGTAGCTACAACTTTTTTCCTTTCCTTTATAAAAAATTTATAGCAGCCAACTAGTCATATCAACAACTTTGGTTCTCCTAATCAAACATGTTCCAAACATACAATTCATTGTTCACCTTCAAAAGTACCACACAATCTTCACTAATATTTTTTGTTTCTTTCTATTTATTTAGTTATTCAAACAACAAATTGATTGTGCAACATGGCAATATCTTAATTAATTCAGACTAGCTCATTGTCTCGGGAATGATTTAATTACCTATTTGGGTTACTTCTCTCATAGTTAATTGGTTTTGAGGTGAAACTTTAACATGATATCAGAACTACAGTCCAACTTTTTTCCGGTTGTCATGGGTCAAAATATGTCATATGTGGAGAGACATGTTGGGAAGTATATATGGATATGGATAGAGCACATAACTTAAGCAACAAACTATTCAAAGATAGGATGTGATCCTTAACATTTGCAACTCATTTTTTTGCTTTAATTTTCTTTAAGTTGCTTTGCCATTCTTCTTTTTCTTTCTTTTGTGGTTGTGTATTGGCCTTATTCAGTGAGTCAATGTTGTACCAAGACCGTTACACCGAGCCTTATGGGGCACACTTATGTTCAAAACAAATTTACAAAGAACACACAACTTTAAGACTAGCCTTGAGAATGTAGAAAAGCCATAATGTGTAACATTTTCACCTTTCTTTTATGTTAATATACAAAGCTTAATAATAGAAACCTGATTCCATCATAATTTATAGATTAAGTGAAATGTAGAGAAAAAGGAAAAGTAAAGACAATAAAAAACTATAAAAAAATTGAAGAAAAAAGTGATAAGAATGATCTGAAATGAACAATGATACTCTGGAGTATTTGAGAGAGGATCTTGTTTTGTCTTTTCTTTTCAATAACAAAATTGTTATTTAGTTGTATATAAAATGATAAAAAAATATTATTCTATATTATTATTATTTTTGTAGCACTTGTCTCTTCATTACGGAAAATGATCCTTACTCATATGAAATTAAGATTAAACTTTCTTGTGTAATTGGCTAATGTCACCTTGGTAGGGTCACAAATTCTTTAATGGAAAACATATTTACAGATGTATCAATGAAGTTAACTTTAGCATGGTACATACCGTACCATATACATAAGGCCCCACTCTACATTTTATTTTTCCTGATTTGGTAAAAGCACCTGAACTATAACATCTAGGACAAGGTATTCATATATATCCATATCAAATGCAACTGTTAGCAACTTCTAGGGATCAACAAAATATTATTTATTATTCTTAAAGCAACATTAAGAAGATTTTATTTGGCCACATTATTAGTAAGATTGTTACTATTATTGAAGATTTTAAGCTGCATAATCAACAGTCTATGTCTATCCACCAATACACAAAAAATGTAAGAAACTTGAAGCCGCTTGAACCACTTGAAATCAAATTAGGAGAGGGAGGAAACACAAGAAACAATTAAAATATTTTTATTTAAAGGAAATATTCCTACTACTAAAATTTGACACATCTTGGATGAACCTTACACTCACAATAGAGGAATTACCGAACATTTAATGACAATAGATGTGCCAATATAAATATAAATGGTGACTCATTATTTCGACAAATAGTTCCTTGAAATAGAAGAAGATTATCTAAGCACTTTCTTAAAATCTCACTCACCTAAGATGAAATATGAGGAATTCTATTAGATCCATGCCTAATATCACAAAGATGACAAATTTTCAACCCCAAAGGTCAGAAAAAATATATAAAATTATGATATATAAATATTTGTGTACATCAAAACTAGGATATGCAAGTAGACATGCTAATGATAATTCATTTCAAAATTAGAATGTCAGAACAAATTAGGCCTTAGGCATATCAGTTGAAGTTAATAACTAAATAAAAACATTAATTTAAGGCATGTGGTAAGAAACTCTTAAAAAGTAAGTTTCAAACCTTCTTATAGAGAAAATTGAAAAATGGAAAGCAACCATTCATTTTAATTCTCACTTTTATTTGAAGTTAAAAAGCAAAAAATAAAACATGAAAGAGGACATAAAATTATCCAAACACTGTTTTGTTTCACTTGGACCATGACCAGTCACCCTTCATCTTAAGACACTATGACACCAAGTTATGATAAAGCAAGGAATTTATGCTTTTGACAGTTCCTAGTTGCATATGATATTTTAAGCTAAAAAAGTAATATATGGAAGAGAGAGAGAAAGACATAAACTATGAAATTTTGAAGAATGAATTAGAACTTCCCAACCCATCTAAAATAAAAAAGTAAAACAAAGCATAAAGGTCCCATTTTTTGAGCCCAAGAAATCAAGTACTGTTATTTTTGTTACCTGGGGAAGAGAGCTTAGAATTCTAAAGCAAATATGAGATCTTAGAAGGGAAGAGCATAAAGCAATGGTTTGTTTCTTTTGGAGCTGTTCTATTCCCTCATCTATTCTTTATATGACCCTCCTTGCACCATGTTCAAATCTATGCAAAGCCATTTTAATTCTAACTAAAAGCAAGTAATCTCTAATACTGACATTTCTTAATAACAAAGGAATCATAATTTATCATATTAACCACATAGAAGTGTGTATATGGAGTAAAGCTGAATTATTTACAAATATGTAATGTAAAATGTTGTAGGAAAATCTGTGACCTGATAAGGCACAAATACATTGGGATATGGCAAATTTTAAAAATGACAGGATATGATAGAATATTATGATGTCGCTTCATCCACGTAGCTGATCTCACCTAATGAGATTAAAACTTGGTTATTATATATGATACAACTTATAAAAATAACACAAACACAAAGGAATAATGTTATAGGTAAAACCTATACAACTTACCCGTGTTAGAAAGTTGCCTTAAAAAATTAGTATGAGTAATTGTAAATGAGAATAATATATCTCATAGTATAAAGAGATAATTTATCTCCTCTAGTCACTAAAATTGTGACATGTATATCATTTAATCATTTTCTACAAAAATATTTCTAAAACAAAACAAAACAATAACATGTCATTCTTTTACTGGCCGGAGGAGGTAATATGATGAGATACTTTATTCTCATTGTAAATATAACAAAATGCTAACATTTATCTTATATTTTCATTTATGATGCTATGAAAAATTAAAGAAAGCATATGGATACTTCATACATGTCTAGGAATGACCAGATAAGGACACTGCTATTTTAAATTGTCCATGCTTCATTGATCCAACCTATACTTAGGCAAACAGTTTCTGATGAAAGGATAATGAAAATTGAAATCCTCGTGTGCTGAAACCAAGTAAGACCAATGTCAATCAAGAATACAAAACTTGTAAATTCATATACACTCAGTTATGATGAATGAATTTGTGTCTCCGTCCAATTAAAAAGTATCATGTAATTAAAAAGAAAAGTGAAAAATATAAACTAACATTTTTACGGTACTTGGTGTAATTTGATTGACTAGAGACATGGACACCAAATATCCTTGGCCCAAGCTACTAAGTTGGCTTCTTTTATTAGAAAAAGAGGAAGCATATGATAGAGATGTAGGGAATGAAATGAAAAAAGAAAGATACTTGGCCTCTCAAGGATATTGTCCCAACACCCTTTATTCATCCTTGTCAGATTCTTCAATAACAGCCTTATTTTGCTTATATTTCAGGCTTCTGATTCGAGATGAATCAAAAATTCCTGTAGGCCCTACATGCTAAAATCTTTAAAGCCCCTTCCAAATACAGTAGGACATAAATAACAAGTCTATATCTACATGAATGGAACATGATAATATAGATATTATTACAAGTAGAACTTCTTATTCTCTTGTCACTCCAAATAGACAGAACATACCTTCTATTCTTGTTTCTGAGTGAAGACAAAATGGTGCTTCATATTTCTAGAATAATCATGCTTCTCCTCTTCTTTGGGTTCTTATCAGTTCAACAAGAGAGTGTGTTGGGTATGACAAGTTTAGAAATTGCACTCAGACACAGCCAAGAAGACCACAGGATAATGCTGCAGAATCAACATACTCACAAAGCTACAGACAAGGAGTTATTCAACAAAAAGAAGAATTCAACAAATGTCGACAACGGATTTGATCGAAATCAATCGAGCAAAAGAAGAGTGCGAAAAGGATCAGATCCTATTCATAACAGGATTTAACACATTCACCTACTTCCTATGACTAGGAAAGAAATCAAGAGTTCAAGACTAAGCACATACCTAAAAGATTGAGAAACAAAAGCTGAGGCACTTGCAAATGCAGAGCAGGTTAGAAATATAATAAACTGCACCTGCATTCTGAAAAGACCTGCATTGTTGTTAATTAGTCTTTCCCTTCTTTTCAATCTATGTTTGAGAGTCTTATCGTAGAGACATGTATAGTGAAGTTACTAGATAATTCTATAGAAAGCAATTCAGTGAAACAACATCATCTGTATTGTGAGTTGAGAATAGTTAATAGTAAAAGAACAATATAGATTATGATGCAGCTCCCAATAGGAAAATGTTCTATTTTTGTTTCTTTCAGGGGTCAAAAGAAAAAGATCAATTTGCACTAGTATTACAGTTCATGGAAGATTATAGTGAAATTCTTTTGTAATTCCATCTTCTTTCATAAGTATTTCAAATCTATCTTTGGCACTTCAGTTGCACACGATTCAGACACTATATCCAACATATCATTCAACATATAGTCATTCCTAACATATAAGATGCAAAATTATGGAAATGCTGTTTCACCTTCATTTGAGTGTACAATGCTAGCAACAGTAAGAACAACAAGATGAAAGTTAACACACTTTTTCATAACTGACAAATATTAAGATTCTTCATAAATGCCCCTTGGCTGTAGCAGACAAAATTGACTAATGAGAATGTGAACAGTGTAATAAATACTATATGTATTAACACTTTTTATAGCAAATTATGGCACAAGAAAATTCAGAAAGCATCAGTCAAAAGCATAACATAGGGATTGAAGCTCATAGTAGTATTAGATAAATCATAGCAAGCACAATCAAACTAAAAATTCTATTTTTCGCATATACATGTTGAAGCAGAATCTACTTATTCATTTTATTTCTTCTCAATACCAATTGGTCATTAGAAGAATAGTCCAACATGTATTTATATCATTCCCAAGACAATGAGTTAGGCAATGTGAGACTTACTCCCATCGGAAAGAAATCAATTAAAAGCAATCCAATCTGAAAGAAAGAACAACAATTTCATTTAATTTATTTGGTGAAAGAACTATATACTAATAATAATTGGAAGACTCAAAAGCCGATATTAGTATTTACAATAGCAACTATCATGGAATGAGTAATAATAAGTACATTCTGTCATCGTCATAGATTGCAATCAACGTTCAGACGCTGCTGGCTAAAACAATACGTCGCCGTTAACTGTCCTCGCATTGACGGGCCAGAAATCCAGATCTGGCCCACTTAAATTCCTGAAGTAGCTTGGGCTTCATTATATTAAATTCAGTCAGCCCACCTATGAAGCTGTTTCCCTTTATTTCATTTATATTTAATTTAATATTGTGAGACCTTACACTATATTTGAAAATGTCTCTAATTTATAGTCTTAATCAAATGAGTGGTTGAACAATTTTGAACTAGTGAAATTCTGGTCTTACCATGTTAAATATAGTTAAATCAAAATAATTTGGAAAGTGAACTACACAGTCACTTAAAATTAAAAAAACGCGGAACATATTCAATGTTTTGTTTTATTTCGGTCAAAAAATAGAGGATATTGTTTCAATATAATTATTAATTATATATAAAATCACTTAGTTCGATCAAACAGTTTAACTGTTTAAACTGGTTAAACCTAATATGACGCTTTCTAGTTTGATGTCCGACTCGGATTTTGCCTTATCTCCTCTAGCCCTATCAATTGAGTTGACTCTTGAGTTACATTTAACTTTATGTCAAGTTACCCTAATAGTTGTGAGTGCAATATATATGTATAATCAATATAAATATTTATATAATGTCAAGTACATCATTCCTTATTCACTTGTATTTCTTTTATTTAAGTGTCACTGATTATTAAATGTGAATGATAGATAATATAGTGACAATGTAACAAACTCTTACACTTTGAGTGCAAACTCTCAACTCGTACTTCTAAATGGAGGAAGCATCTACTTATAGGCGGAGACCCTCAAAGGTCTTGTCAATCAGACGGCCTAAAAAAAGATCTCATCTCAAACGGTACATGATCTAACATTTGAGATGTAGCCAACAGTCACATTGATCAGATTTTCCTCTTATCCCTTAAACTTGGAACTGTGTGTTGACTTGGTCACACTGATCGAATCTTCCTCAAAAAAATATGTTGGGCCCAAGCTCAAACTAGTCGAACGGTGGCGTGGAGGTGGTGGTGCGCAAGTGTGTGAGGTTTTTTATTGTGTGTGTCCTCGCCCATGACAAAATATTTGTACTACTTGGGGCACATCCATATGAGTGCACTAAAAGCTTATAAACACCCTTTAGTGCTAGAATATGGGGGGAATAATAAATTTATACATTTTTATTTAATTAATTTAAAAATAATAAAAAATCTAGATCCTTAATTTTTTTTAGATGTCACATGTCACAATCTATATATTATACATTCGGACTTGGCTTTTATCATTTCCCACCCAAATGTCGAGTAGGGATCCTCTCCAAGCTATGAGTAAAACAATGCAAAATGAATATAGTAAAAGACAATTCAATCTTTCTATTACACTTGTAATGACTTTTTTGTCCTTAAAACCAAGTGTAATAACTTTATTTGTCTCTTAATTAATGGAAATGATCCCTATTCCGAAATGTCTGAGGAGGTGCATTTGTTCCAACATCAAATTATCATCCTCATATATTACCACATCTAACTATATTTTAAAATGCAATTTTTTATTATTGAAAAGGATATTTGATTTCATACTATTCAAAACTATGAACTGGTCAAATTAAATGTTCAAAGTTGTCACTCACATGGAAGAAAGACATGGAATTATTCTTTTAGCTTCTACTGTAAATGAGTTTAGGTGGATGATGATCTTCCACGTTTCCAATTTGCTTTGGTATACGTGCATTATCTCTTCAAAATATTTATTATATTAAAAGAAAACAATTCGGAATTCTTGGCCCACAACTCATAAATTATATGCATTATTTGACCTAAAGTTCTCGAAATTCTATCATCCAACATAATGTAAGCTGTATGAAAGTCAGCCTTAAGTTATCTAGAGTCCTTAACAAATGTGGAAGCTTACTACTATATATGATTTATGTCATTAAAAATAAATGAAAAACATGTAATTGTATTAGTTAACTATGTTTTCTGAAACTCACTACTTTAAATTTCGTTGTTAACTTGTTCCTGAGGGAGCTGTCTTGTGTCACTCTACTAATTTGGATGCTTTGTTGGATGATGGCATAAATGTCAGAGTAGGAATGTCTTGACTCTTTCCTCCCATTCAGAAATATAAATGGAAAATTTTACTTAGATGGTATAGTTTGATACTTATTTACCACTTTCATATAAGTTTTGTAAAATTTAACAAAGCGATCCATATTTTGTAGAACTTGTATTTCATATGCACAAGTTCATCATTTATTAATTTTATTTTTACTTCCAATGTATGAGTTCTTATTTTTTTGGCGATTTGGTCTATTGTGCCTCCCATGCACAAGTCTTTGTGTCTAGCCCAGCTGGACCTTCTGCTCGTATGCAACAGCCACGTACCCCTTTAAGATTTAGTTGCCTTCAAGAGACGCCCTTCTGTGAATTGGTGACATTAACAAATCTAACAAATTTATTGCACACAACTACTAACAAATTAAGAGTGATTATTTTTTTCAAGTAACAAAAGTGGTTATTAAAAACATATGAAATGACCAATTGCAAGTAATGTTTGTTCACATAAAATTTGTACGTATAGAAAGTATTGTGCACCATTGATTTTCATAATAAGAGAGAATGCAATAATTGATGTAATTATAAGTTAGTAAATCGCTTTTATATACAACATTTTATTCCCCCCCTCCATTAAAACCAATGATACGTTAATTATAAGTATTATGTTTATGCACCATTCAATAAAACATTTTTATTAACATCATCTGTAAATCTATATAATAATGTCTAATAAGAAATTTTTCCAATTTTATTATATGTATACCAAAGTGCCTGGATCAGAATGTAAAAGAGAAACTCAACTAGGAATATATCTCCTTTTTGTTCAATCAGTTGCATAAAATACAATGATTATCCTTAAGTAAATCCATCAAATACCAAGTATCATTCTTGTAGATACTCTCAAACTCTTCTTGCATAGTGACTAGCCACTTTGATGAATAACGTAGGAAATAACTTCAGTTTTTAGGCCAAATGCTTTCATCAATTTCCCCATGCAACAACCAATGCACAAGAAATTAAACCAAATTATCATCTCTAAATCTAGCATGATTTTCATTTGTCCCCGTTGTTGATCTCCCCATTTGCAATAGTTTTTCTTTTGTGGGTCAACAATATAATAGCCTCAAACAATACAATAGTTATATCCATATCTTTCTCCTTTGTATGGGAGAGAGATCGGTTGTCTCAAATGATATCATATTTCATGTCTCAAGTCAATCATAATATTACTTTTTATTTTTAATAAAGAATGAGACACCGTTAGAAACATGTGATCTATTTTGTATCATCCAATCACATGACATAATTTGGTGATAATAGAGTGAGACATATATGAGGCGACCATTTTAGAACCTGTAATAATAGAGCTTGCAAAATGCATAAACTATCAAATCTGATAGCTTTTAAGCAAAACAACATTGCATGTGGACACTTTCAAAACTCCAATATCATTTGTATAATTGCATGCAAAAGATTCAAGAGTAACTAAGGTTTAAAGATTTTGTTTAAAATGAGGGATTCGTGTGACACTTGTCAAAATTCTATCAACTTTATCATGTGTCTTAGTTCTGACCCTATCTTACCAACGACTTTGCATTGAGCATTGTTGCCCATAAACAGAATACCATTATCAACAGGTTCACGGGTGGCAAAATAATCCATACGAAGGATGATACATATGATGTTCCCAATCATATCCCGAAGCCTTTCAAGAACCGATAAAAATATATCATGTCAACTATAAAAATTAAATATTTATGATCATTTCTATTTTTATTTTACTTTGATTAGTTAGGGAGAAACGGGAGACAACAAATCTTTCTCCTCTCAACCCTATTCTTCATTTTATAATATTAAAAAATACCATACTCAAATTTATTGCAATAATTACATCTTTCATTGGTATATATTCCTTTAGACTTTGACTTGTATTGAGATCTTTTATTGTTAATGCCTTTTTTAGATTCCTTTCTCCAACTACTAATCCCTTACCTTGACCGTCTACATAGACCCCAAAATCAATTTTTATAGCATATTAGCTTTAATATCATCAAAATCATGACACATAGATATTAGTCATAATTATCTACATGCTCCATTTATTTTATCTTATTTATATACATGATGTAACCAAAAATACATACAAAAAATATTGAACATGTTATTCATGTAATCTTTTGGTGTGATAAGAAAACAAAATCTTCTTTTCTTCTTTGTGTTCTCTTAGTGGTTATGATGGTTAGGACCTCAATTATTGTTGTATTTTTCTATATCGTGATAATCAAATTAAATGAGATTATATCTTTTATTCCATATAAAGTCACATATACAATGACTTATATATATTTTCTAACCAATTATAACAAGTCACACATAAACATAAGAAGATAAGATGTTCATTTAAACCTTAGGTTTTGTCATCAATTAACATTAGAACAATCATTATGAGTTATCACCATTATGTTGTACCTTCATCATCTCAACCTCTCTCCTAAACTATTAACCTTAAAGATTGCTCTAAACTTGTCAAACCCATAATCCTCCCACTTTCTCTCTCTCTCTCTTATCATATCATATTATCATCCTTGCAAAAACTGACATGGACTTGTCTCCAAACAACACCCACACCTTAGACAAAGATACTCAAACCCCACCACCAACCCAACCCACCAACAACACCAAGTCTTCATCTTTCACCAATGGCTCCTTCAAGCCCTACTACCCCACCACCACCACCTCCAACTCCACCTCCTCCACCCCACCACCACCTTCCACGGTGCTACTTTCCTACAATGAGTGCCTTAAAAACCACGCTGCCAGCATAGGCGGCCATGCCCTTGATGGCTGCGGCGAGTTCATGCCTTCCTCTTCCTCAAACCCCTCCCAACCCCGCTCACTAACATGTGCAGCGTGTGGCT